ATTTGTATTTCATGACAAAAACTCTATAGCGTAAACGAGTTTAAAATTTAAAAAACCTACTTAAATGGTTTCAGCAGCATATCCTGTTGCCTGTTATGTATTTTTCTTCTCTTTTACATTCTTTATTTTAACACAAAGCCACGAAAACACTAGTTTAAATAGTATAAATTTGTGCCGCCATTTTGTTTATTTATGTACGTAGCCGGTCGGGGCGGGCAACAATTTTTCACTTATTGCCCGCGCGGGATACATTGCATTTATCTAAAGCCACGTGACTACAAATCAGCCAATCACGTTTGGTATTCACACTAGCTATATAACAATATGGGTTGTTCAAGCAGCAATAATAATCTTCTTGAACTACGCCATCTTCTCGTCAAAATTTCAACACGTATAATATGACTAGGTTATAAATTAAAAACGCTGGATATAACATTTTAACCGTAAAGTGCGACTCACCCCAAATATAATTTTTAGTATTTGTAATATTTGGGTCATTCTAAGAAGAGATGTAATGTATCTGTATAGTAAAAAACCTCATCTTGATCAACTTTTTCACTGTCATTGCAATTCACCTAATGATTTTAGACCGATTTAGATCGAGGACGCAGACGTCAAAGACGACGTGAAAATTGGGTGTTGTGCCCATGTATGGATATGCCACACCATTCTGACGCCATTTTCACGTCGTCTTTGATGTTCGCGTCCTCTATCTAAATCTGTCTATTATATTTAGAAAAACTCCCATCTTAAAGGTGATCTACAGTCCGATCTGCGCATGTGCACAAATGAGCCCACTTTTTATGATACAAACACTGTCAAACAGTTTAACTATGTTTTGAGTTCTTGAAAAGCCTGATTGTTGTTTCTTGATCATTTATTATACTCTAGAAGCTTGAAAATATAAATAGTTGTCGAATAAAGCTCAATATTTTGGACACAAAAAATGTAAACAAAGACTTTGTTTACATATGGACTGTAGATCACCTTTAATAAACTTCTTTAACAGTGAAAAAGATTATATATTTTTGTTATAACGATTATATTCCATTTCTTCCTCGAATGACCTAAATATTACACATACCAAAATCATAATTGTGGTTAGTCACACTTTCAACTAAAGCAAACTTTAAGTTTAACTTTTTTACTATTTTGAATATCTAGTTCTTCTCGTCCATTCTTTTACTAGGCATTATCTAACATGAATCGCGTTCTATTTCAATTTTTTAGCGAGCTCACAGTTGATTTCATATAACTTTTCCCTAAATGTTGCAAACTTCGTTCCTAACTTCGTTGTGAAGTTCACACTGAAATTCAGAAGTCGGTATGTAAACAAAGCCTCTGATTGGTCGCTGAACAAAAGTAAGCCAATCAGACGCTTTGTTTACATACCGGCTTCCGAATTTCAGTATGAACTTTTGAACTTCGCAACGAAGTTCGTAACGAAGTTCGCAACATTCAGGGAAAAGTTATATGAAATCAACAATCGAGTGTCACGTGAAAATGGATAGAACTACTAACTTTGACGGCATTTTGCATCAGCGCTTGTGTAAGGAAGCCAAAAACTTTAATAATCTTATGTTTTGTCGTGTCCACAAACTGATACAAACACAGCTTTTTAAATCCATTCCCCCCTCGGCAATCTGACATCCGTGTCGACAAAAAAGTCACTTGCTCCCTATCTTTTACGGTATGTGATTCTGTATGTAACATACTAATATTCATAAATATACAATACATTAGCATAGTTTCCGATTACGTGCTTACATTTTGTTACACACGTAAAAATCTCAACAAGATGTTCGCACTGCTTGTTCCCAGTCGGTGAAAAGACTGGAACACGCTGTACAGGGGCGTAGGAAGCATCAAAAGATTGGGGGGGCACTAGCTCCCAGGGGCACTTTAGGACATCTAAAAAAGGGCACCTAAAAAATTTTCCCGGTAATGTTTGCGACGGGGGGAGCGGGGGTGAAAGAAAATTTTTGCCGTCATACCATGCCGAAATTGCACGTTTTTGATCACATTTTAAAAAAAAACATGGAGATTTGCAAACAAAAAGGCACTTTTCGTTACAGCGACATTATAGCTTGTACAAAAAGGGAACTTTTCATCACAAAAAAGGGCACTTGCCACTTTTAGTCCTTTGAAAAAATTTCGGACCATGGTTCCTGCGCCCCTGAAGCTGTAATCTTGTAACCAGGTTGATGAGGCCAACAAGTCTGTTCCAACAAGTCTGTTCCGGACAAGTTGGTGAGAACTTGCTCACTTGCTCAATGCTCGTAGCAATTGATTACGAACAGCATGTGCTATATAGTCTTGTTGGAACAACTTGTAGCGAGTCTATATTACCGTCATCAACCTTCAATTGGGGGAATCGACTGATTTAGGCAGGATTTTTTCACCAGGGGGCAGTAAAGCCTAACTTGGGAGCGCGGTAATGGGGGCGAATTGAAATCCCGGATAAACACCACACAATTAATTATTGAGTTACACTTGAAAGCAGAAAAATTTAAAACAAGAGACACAAAACTGTGTGTTTTATAACGCGAAACACTCCTAATATATATGCCGCCATTTTGATTCGCTGCGCGCATGCTGAGACAAATTGCCTACCTGTTCTTTATCATAGGAGCACCGATGATAGATCATATTATCTATCATCTGTGATAGATTTTACCCTTAAAATTTTGTTGACTAGAACTCTTCCCAAACATAAAGTCAACTTCTTATACTGTATTAAATTCATACGAATTATAATATACGACAAGTTTTCTATACTATCATTTATTTGAAGGAATTTGTTTTGGCCGTCGTCGTTGTGTTGCTGCCGTCATACATGATTAAGCTCGCTAAAAAGGTGACTCCTCAACAGGATTTTTGCATTCTATTATCCTACCCTCTTTCATCCGAAATACTCATTGTTTTATGTCAATCTCGATTTTATAGCCGCCGGGGTATAGCGATCTAAACGTTCTCGCGAGACTGTTTAATTTATCCGTCGGATAGGTGGATAGCGCTATAAATGGGCTTAGTACAACCATGGATTGTACAATAATTGGGTTCTAGGAAACTTTCTGACGTCACAGTCTAAACCTAGTTACAATCTGTGACGTCACGCGTATTGCCAAAGTTCTCAGCATTTTTGTTGTTTCGCTATATTTTCCGCTTTAAGAGAGTAATATTGAAGCATAAACTGGTCTAATTGTTTTAAAAACATGCTTAAGCCACGACAAAGTATTCAAGGTAAATGTTTTTCGTCTTTGTTTTGTATTTTTTTACCGATTTGTAGCTACGAAATTGGCGTTGCCAATTTTAACGAAATTTGCATCTGTCTGAAGATGACTTTGAAATAAAGTCGAAAATTTACAGTCTCAAACTGCGTCTTGTTTTGAATTATATATTGAATTCTCAAGATGTCCTGTATTTTTGGAATTTGTTTTTTTACTTTATTTTTTTAAATTGTCGGCTGGTCATGATTTTTCACTGTTTAGTGGTTGAAATATTTGTCTTGGAATACTTAGAGATTTCATCGTAGAATGGCGTAGTTATATTTATTTGCTCTTTGACTAAAATGTTTGGCTGTATTATTGCTAAACATGCCATTTTTGAGAATTTGGTTTGCAACTAAGTTTCAACGCGATCATCCCATTGAAAACATTAGGTCACGTCAGCTAGTTTCCTATCCATGTATACACCCTTTTCGTAAATGGCTGCCAATTAAAAATTATTTTATGTG